ATTTTATTTATTATTTTTATTTTACGTGTATGAGTGTATTGCCTGCATGTATGTGAGTGCGCCTGTGTCGTGCAATGCCACAGAGGTCAGAAGAGAGCTTCGGACTCCCCTGGAACTGGAGCTAAGGACATGGATATTTTTTATAGTTAGAGAAAATGGTACAGATGGCTCTACAGGCTCAAGATCACAGTTTGGAGGCCAGGTATAATAGTGTAGCCATAATCCCAATACTTAGTAGGCTGAGGTAGGAGAACCTCAAAGTTCAAAGCCAGTCTGGGTTCCAAGACCCTGTCTCAAAAGAAAAAAACAAAAGTGCAAATCTGCATACCTGCATTTATTCGGTTGTCCAGTGTCCCAGAAAAGCAGACTGGATCTTCTTCTTTACTTTCCAAAGCCCATTCAGAGCTGATCTAGAGATTAAATAATAATAATAATAATTATATATATATATATATATAATTCCCTGAAGGAAGAAAATAAAATCACAGGCTTCATAGATCCTAAAAATCAACTGTATTGATAGTGTCAAGAAGTGGGGAAAAGAGAAAAACTGACACAGATACTAAGAGGGCAGAGATATCCTATGGGGTAAACACCAAAGATGTTTTTATTGTTCCAAGAAAAGAAGCCAGAACTTTTGCTTCCTGGTATAGAGTGCCATGTCCAGAGCAAGAGCAGCTATCAACACCTTTATCCTGATGCTGTGATGTAGTCAGATGCCCAAAGATGTTCACTCCTAGAATCAAACTATTTTTCCCAACAAAGAGCTACCAAACTTAGTGATTCAAAAATCGGCTTCCAAGTTGGCACAGATATTGTCTCTGCTACCCAGCACATTTGATAAAAATCTGACTGTAGGAAAAGCACAGTCCTGGGCAGTTCTGGCAGCAGCAGAGATGGAATGGGAGGCAAGGGATGGGGCTGGGCAGGCAGCGGTTCCAGGCATCTTACACTGTAGTGGGAGACTGCAGGAAGAAAATGCAAAGGCAGCAGAGGAGTACCACATGACTGCTGATGCCCCCTCACTCTGGTGAAAGATGCAGGTAAGAGCTAGTAGGAGTCCTTTCTGCAATGGCTGAGACTTTACAAAAATAGTGACAGCAGGCCAGGCAGGAGATACAAGTATGTACTCAGATGTGACAACTTTCACTTGACAACTATAACAGCACGAGTGTCTTAAAAAATATTCATAAGACAAATAATTTTACCTTCAGCTTTAAGAAAAAACAGTAATCCATGACGGCTACTTGACTAGACACTCTGCCCCATACCACAACAGCCATTAGAAACGAACTAAATGCTAATGCCCTGCTTTGCTCAGAAGCAAAGCTTCAGATGCCACATTTACTCTGTACAGCTCTCTATAAAGAAGCTGAGCTTGAGGAGAAAAGAAGCTGAGCTTGAGGAGAAAAAGAGCTGTACAGTCCGTGTCCACATGGGGCTTACAGTCTTCAAGAACAGCAGAACCAGAACACACAGGCAGCACAGAATGTGGAATGGGATCTAGCCTGTGGCTCAGAGAGGCAGTAGCACAAAGCTGAAATGTGATGGATGTGCAAGGGAGGTAGGGCACAGAGCCAACAGGAATAAAGCAGTCTAGGCTCCTTTCACAGGGGCTACTACATAAACCTTCCTAATTCTTAGGGCTTTTAAATACACACCACCAGACCATGTGTTATTTAATCTTAAAAGTCAGGAGTTTCCCTGGTATTGTGGGGCACACCTTTAATCCCAGCACTGGGAAGGCAGAGGCAGACAGATCTCTGTGAGTTCTAGGCCAGCCTGGTCTACATAGTGAGTTCCAGGTCAGCTGGGGCCATGGGGAGACCCTGTCTCAAGAAGACAAAAAAAAAAAAAACAAAAAAAAAACAGGAGTTTCTCTGGGTCTCATCAAGTTTTAAGGGTCAAGCTAAAATTATTTTAATTAGCATGCTTAATTAATACAATGAACTCTACTCTCAGGGACTTGATGTTCTAATAATAAAAAATTTAAAACAATTCACACAGCACTTAAAAGACATGCTAAGAACTGTTCTAAGTTAGATTAGGACTGTGGCTCTAAGGGTAAAAATGGATGGCTACCCTCATTCAGGATGACAAATGGTTTTGGTGCTTCATTTGCATAATGGCTTCATGCAACTAATATTTCTGTCAGAAAAAACCAGACACTATGATTGACCTGGTCACTTCAGCGGGAGGAGAAAAGGAGCAAGATCAGTTCACTGGTTCCAAGAAACCAACTCGAGCTACTTAATGTTAAGACAAAGAAAGTCCAGTGCCAGAAACAGACCTACAGGAATCACAGGAAATCCTTGAAAGAACACGATTCACTAGGGATCCCACTCTCAGCCCAACGGATACCACGTAGCTTAGAAAACACAAAAATAAAGGCAAACAATCCAAACTGCTGGCTAAAAGCTACAAACTCTCCCACCTTACTAAACTGTCAAGGATTTGAAAGAAATATATCCTTCATTCAGTGACAGAGTACTTTGTGGCCTTAAGGTTTTACCCTCAGCACATCAGGTAGACAATACATAGTTACCTAGTGCAATTCTATGCAGTGGAAAACCACTGCAGCACAGGCTACCTGGGTATTCACGGACTTGTTAAACAGCCGGCAAGTATGGACAAGTCATTTTCATCTCTGAGCCTCAGTTTCCCCACCCACTAACCTGAAAGGAATAGCCTATCAAAGTGTTAGAGTAAGGATCAAGAAGATCTTTCAGGGACTGGAGAGATGGCTCAGTGGTTAAGAGCACTGGCTGTTCTTACAGAGGACCTGGGTTCAATTCCCAGCACGCACATGTTGGCTAACAACCATCTGTAACTCCAGCTCCAGGGGATCTGATGCCCTCTTCTGATCTCCGTTGACATTTCACAACGTGGGTGCACTTACACACATGCAGGCAATACGCTCATACACATAAAATAACAGTAATAAGTAAAAAAAAAATTAAATTATAGAAATAGACCTTTAAAAGAGTCATCCTCCAGCACTTATAAACAATACCCTTTTCAAGAGGATGTAAATAAGCATGACCAGAAAGAAATTAGATGTTTGAAGCAGCATAACAGACTTCATAACAGAGGCCTGGGCTGTACCCAGGAACAAACAAGCCTGATCACATGTCAAAGTCTGGTCTATTGAGTCTCAGATAACACGACAGAGTAGTGAAGCACAAGGGCTGAAGTCCTACTGACCCAGACTTAAATCTGGCTTGCCAAGCAACTAATGAGCTAAGGCTGCACATCTAAAGTACTACGAGAGCACAGCACGCAGGGATCACTCAGCTCTTCACCACACTTTCTGCTCCTCTGATTACAGTTGATGGAATACAGACTGTTCTAGTCCAAGGAGAAAGCGCTCCAACATGGAATTAGGGTCTTTACAGTGTATGAATGGAGCAGGCCAACACTTTGTGCCATAAAAAGCCTGAGAGGTATGAGGTTGATCAGTGTTAGTGCCAGGAGTGCAAATGGCTTCTGATTTCAGGGACCTTGCTCTTTCTACAGGGTGGGAAATGTGCTGTAAAAATCACCACCACCACCATCTTCTCCCACTTTTTAGAAGTCTTCAGTGTAATATCTACCTAGGATACTGATTTCATTCCAGTGCCTTCCCCTGGGTGTAGGGGTGCAGGCCTATAATCCAGCACTCAGGAGGCTAACATGGGAGGATCACAAGTTCCAGACCAGCCTGTATATAGTGAGTTTGAGGTCAGCATAGGTTACACAGCAAAGACCCTGTCTCAAAATAAACAGCAACAGTAAGAAATCATAGTGCTCAGCCCTGACTACTCCAGCCCATAGCTAGGGCACCACTTGTCACCCTGCAGGGAGGGGAGAGCTCTAGTTACTCAACACAGGTCTACCTTGCCTGGGCATGGAACCCTCTTAAGGACACACACACACACACACGTACATACATGTGCACCACAGAAAAAGTTGCCTCTGTCTCTCCAAAGACCCCGGCCCTTTGCTAAGACTTGGGTAACTATTCAGATGAGAGCACCATAAGATTCTGTAAAGCTGCTGAATTCCAGCCCAAAGAATGACATAATATAAATATGAAGCCTAGCATTTTTTCCTGTCAGCGAGTCAGAATTACAGCTTTTCTATATGCCACTCCTGTCACACAGAATCACTCACTTCTAACTATAGCAACGATTCCAGGAATACCCCAGAATCGTAAATGCTGCTCCATTTACAATAAACTTCTAGGGATGATCAAACAATCAATGCCAAGTCGATGGGTCCAGCTCTCTGCATTGTTCCCAAGGAACCTGCTTCAGCAAAGACCAGTTCCCTGATCAGAGTAAATAGTACTTTGTTTAATTAAAGTCAGTAAGTGTCTTCCTAAAAGCCACACTATAGCAAAACACTGTGCTGCTTAACTCTGCTTCTTCACCGCTCCTTCTTTTAAACTAATTATCACTAATGTAGCTATAATGTTATTAAAGAGACCATAATCAGATTTAGTGATGCCATCTCATGGCCTTCCTAAGGGGTCAAAAATATGGTGGCAGAAGTGGACACTTGGGAAGAGGGGCTTGGCTTTGCCTTAGAAGAGAAGACAGGAGGATCACCTTTTTATAGAGCAATTCCAAGCTAGCCTGGACTACATAATGCCCTGTCTCCAAAATGGGGGTGACAGGGTAGGAGGGGCAGGAACTTTGTCTTCAAAGTCTGTGCTTCTTAAACATTCATCTAAAGTGAAGTACCCAATACCATCACAATAAAATCTTGCACTTAAAAAAAGCAAAACAAAAACATATCTGTCCCTAAAAAGAGCTTTCACACCTGTAACCACATTGTAACCTTCCACAGATGAGAAGACTTAGCTTAATACATTCCCACCATCAACTGGCCAGAGAGTGGTACACTCATTCTCAAGGACTTTGCCAGCCTCAGCCTAACTGCCCTGTCTGTCTACCATGCTGTACTGGGTGTGGTGCAGGCTACAACGAATCCACAGGCAGAACAGGGACCCGGCCTTTGGCATGTACACTACAACCTTGCAGTGTAGTTCTAGCTGGTAAAACACACACACACACACACACACACACACACACACACACACACATGCACGCACAAGCACTAGCACCTCCAGGCTGAGGATGTGCTGGGGTGCCAAGAATTGGCAGCGGGGACTGCACAGTCAAGAAGGCATAGCTTGAGGCTCAGGGCTGAGAAGCCTTCTGAGGGAAGAGCTCCACTTGGCTTGGAGAAATTGAGACTGAAAAAGAGGAGCTGTTCTCAGAAAGGGTCAGAAGGAAAATTCCTCAGGATGGTGTTGCAGGCAGGTGCACAGATCAAGAAGGACATGGGGGAACATGCAGGAAAAGATAGTAAAAGGCAGGAAAGAACAACCAGTTTGGAAAAGAGGAGGAGGGTGTGAAAGAGTCAC